TCTACCACTTGAGCCACAGCGCCACTTCTGGCTTTTTTTTTCTTTTTGCTTATGTGGTGCTGAGGAATCGAACCCAGGGCCTCATGCATGCAAGGCAAGAGCTCTACCACTGAGCCACCTTCCCAGCCCCTATATAGTTTTTTAAAGCAAAACAAATTTTTAAGTTTGGTTTTATGGATAGGGAAATACAGACATGTTCTAGCTTGTATTACAAAACTATATTCATTAAAGGCTACAGCTTGGTTAATGTCCAGGGCATGCCTCACAGGCCCTATGCCTTCTAATCTGTGTCCCCCAAGGTATCATTTACATGCACCCCAGCATAAGCTCTCTGCCTCTTAGTAATTGTCCCTATGGCAGTGAAACTGGGCCATAGCAGGGTGGGTACAATCTGATCCATTGACAGTTGTTTTTCCTGGAGATGCTTGTGTGAAAAAAACAAATCATGGAGAAACTGGATTTTGATATATAAAAATTTGTTTTTCTTTCAGTTTGGTTAAGATGTATTCATTTTCTTCATGCACAATAAATGTGGTTTATGTAAATTGCTATGAATTGGGCTGCTGCATTGCACTTGTAGGTTTTTTTTTCTTTTTTTGTCTTAATACTCCAAGACATCAATTTTAGTTAGGTCCTAATATACACATTTGCTACTGATGGTTACAATAACACATCAACATCTCCTTTTAAGCTGGGTACTTGTGGCTCATGCTTGTAATCCTAGATACTCAGGAGGCTGAGATCTGAGGATCACAGTTCAAAGCCAGTCTGGGCAGAAAAGTCTATGCAACTCTCATCTCCAATAAATTGTTTAAAGACAGAAGTGGCACTATGGCTCAAGTGATAGAGCACAAGGAGACTCAGGGACAGTGCCTGGGCCCTCAGTTCAAGCCCCAGGATTGACCAAAAAAATCTTTTATTACAACTCAAAAACTTGAAAACCAGAATACAGTTATCTCTCCTAATTATTAACCAATATCTTAACTACCCAATATTGTTTTATATGCCTTCAAATTGCTATATTATATCACACAGACTTGTTTTATATGCCTTCAAATTGCTATATTACATCACACAGACTGTAAGTTTGTAAAATAGAAGACAAGAGACAGTGCTGAGAATGTGGCTTAGGGGTGGAATACTTGCCTAGCATGCACAAAGCCCTGGGTTCGATTCCTCAGTACCACATAAACAGAAAAAGCCAGAAGTGGTACTGTGGCTCAAGTGGTAAGAGTGCTAGCCTTGAGCAAAAGCTCAAGACAGTGCCCAGACCCTGTGTTCAGGCTCCAAGACAGGCAAAAAAAAGGAAAAGGAAAGAAAAAAAAACTCGTTTCCATTTCCTGGAGCTCATTTCAATAAATATAATTTTGTATTATCAGATGCATGTAGGCATTTTGCATTTGTGTTCCTCTCCTAAGGGTAGCCTCCTTTGGTCTCACTGTATGTGAATACCTAGAGTCCTGTTTAATTTTTCATTTCCTGCTGCATTTTGGAACTAACTTCTGCCTATGAATGAAAACATGCATCATTTGTTTCTCTGAGCTCGGCTTACCTAAACATGATTTGTTCTAGATCTATCAATTTCCCTGCAAATGACTAATGGCTATGCATACTTCTATATTTTTCTGGATCCACTCATCTATTCTTCCTACTTCTTGTGAGTTCATACACTTATGAGTTAAGGCCACTGCTGTTCTGATTTCTGCCACTATAGAGTTCTTTTGTTGGGCTGAGTACCCAGGATGTAGAGCAAGTGCTTGACAAGGCCTGAATTCAAACCCCAGGGTTGCTCCCCACCAGGAAAAGGAAACAATGGATTCCTTTTATATAGGTTTGACATTTTCCATAATAAACTCTAGAATATCAAATCTGATTTTTAAATGGGTGAGCTAATTACTGGATAAATTGTTGAGATGCCATTTTGGGTATAATGTACAGAAAATACAGTAAGTATAATATGTATAATATGTATATTCAAGTATATGCTGTACTATAGAATATTTGATGATCAACTCAGATATCCTGGGCCATCATAAATGAGAAAGTCAGGAAAAATGTAAAAAAAGCAATTTGTCATTAATTTACTGTGGTATAGAGCTACTGAATGCTGAAAATATTCATTCTGACTTATCAAAAAAAGTTAAGTTGTACCATTATAGGGGTACACCTATAATTACAGCTAATTGGGAGGCAGATGTAGATCATGAGACCATTCCAGGCAAAAACTTGAGACCCTATTTGAAAAACAAAGTAAAAGCAAAAAGGACTGGGGGCATGCCTCAAGCGGTATAGCACTTGTTTGGGTAGTATGAGATCCTAAGTGTCTACTCTCATAAGGGTGGTCAATAAGAAACATTTGCATTTTCAGTCAAATAGGAAAATGATCCTGAATGGAATATGGTGCACACAGCCTAGTGATCATCTGAACAAGAAAAAAGAATATTGCAACTGAGTACCAGTAGCTCATGCTTGTCATCCTACCTACTGAGACTGAGATCTGAGGATCCCAGTTCAAAGCCAGCTCTGGCAGGAAAGTCCAGGAGACCCATTTCCAATTAAACATAAAAAGAGCTAGAAGTGGAGCTGTGGCTCTAGTAGTAGAGTGCTAGCCTTGAGAGAGGGGGGGGGGGGGAAACAAGTTCAGGAACAGCATTAAGGCCCTGAGGTCAAACCCAAGGACCAGCACCAAAAAAAAAAGTATTGCTCACATAAGACAAAAATACTTTGTGAGGGGCTGGGAAGGTGGCTCAGTGGTAGAGCGCTTGCCTTGCATGCCTAAGGCCCTGGGTTCGATTCCTCAGCACCACATAAACAAAAAAAAAAGCCGGAAGTGGTGCTGTGACTCAAGTGGTAGAGCACTAGCCTTGAGCTGAAGAGCTGAGGGACAGCGCCCAGGCCCAGAGTTCAGACCCCACGACCGGACCCAAAAAAAAAAATACTTTGTGAGATATGACACATATGTGCATACACATAATGCACATAACTCAAAGCACACCATTATAGGTTTAAACATAAGTTACATTTGTATGCATGTGAATATATAAGCAAAGCTTCTATTAAAGACTTAGAAGGGCTGGTGATTTGGGAAATGGAAAGTTTCTCAAATTGTCCCTAGAGCGAAGATTAATAATTAGGAGTATAATAGAATTTGGAGACACAAAAACTACCGAGTTATTTTAACATATTTTTAATAATTTTAAGTAGTTATAGCACTGTTAACAGTGTAACTGAAAAGACAATAACAATATTTATCATGAAGGTAGTAACTGCAGGAAGCAGTCAGGCTCAGAGCAAAGTCAGAATTATAAAAATTAGCTGGGCTTGATGGTGCATAGCTGCAATCCCAACACTCAGTTGGTGGGGTGGGGGGTAAAAGGATCAAGAGAGTTCAAGACTAGTCTGGTCTTCATAATGAAACCCTGTCTCAAAAAATAAAATAGAGAGGAAAGAGAGAGTATAGAAGAGTTAAAGTTGTGCACCAGTGGCTCACACCTGAATTGCTAGCTACTCAAGAGGCTGAGATCTGAAGATCACAATTTTCAAACTTTTGCTTCAGCAAAAAAAGAAAGTCTTCATGACCCTTATCTGCAATTAACCAGCAAAATGCTGGATGTGGACATGTGACTCAAGTGTAGAATGCCTGGTATGAGTAGAAAACCAAGTGTGAGTGTAAAGCCCTGAGTTGAAGCTCCAATATCAGCTTTAAAAAAGGGAGGGATCCCATGTACCTAGGATTCCAGTT